CGCTCAACGCGCCTGGCTCATGGGGTTGTCCGAGCTTTCAGCCTCTCGATGACGAGCAAGAAGAGCAAGCTCAGCAGAGCTGAGTTTGGGAATCCGATCAAGCAATTTGCTATTCATATTGAGTGCGTCCTCTCGGGCACTGCGACGAATCTCAAGAAGCTCGCACACAACGTCCACGATCATGCCACGGCTCTTACACGCACGCTTCTCACTGCAGGTCTCTAGCCAGTTTGTCAAAGCTACACGCTCATGCGCCAGAAGAATCCGCCTGCCGTCATGAGGTTGGATGCCTCGCTGTCTCCGCCGTTGCGCAGCCACAAGATCGGCTCTGGTGATACCGTACAGCTTCAGAAGCCCGTCGGATCGATTGGGGCGCCCCTTCCGGGCACTGGCGCTCGTAGGAGGGTTGACCAGGCTGCCAAGTTGTTGACGCGTCAATTGACGAAGGCCATCAACCTCTAAATACTGTTGAACTTCAATGGACGTCATCGCACTCGCCGTGAGCTGACGTAGGAGTTGGGATACACGATCTGCCTTGGCTCGACGCTCGGCCTATAGGCACAAATACCACTGTCAGCTGTGTGCGGGGAAATGTCAACGTTCCAACACCAAAGAGTCACACAGTGAAGCGGTTCTCAACACCAAAGCGCACCGATATCTTTGACAAACCCGGCTTCCATCATGCCCGGCCGTTGCAACCCCTGTACATGCCTTTTTACCCCGGCGATGCCGCATGCCGGCCGACTGCCAGCCGAGGTGGGATGACCCGAAATGGCAGCCGCATATCAGCGGAGTCCGAGGAGATGAGCATTCGAAAGCTGGCTCAACCATAGCTAATGGTGTAAAAATTGTATCCCACCTTTTGATTTCTGAAGATTGATCGATTGGCCACCAGGGCGCTGCCGTTTATCTTCCTTGCCAGACAGCTCCAGCCTCCAACAGAGGGAAAAATGAACGGAAAAAAATTTTATTTTTGGTAACAAATGTCCAAAGGTAACAAATACCCTCGGTGACTGTAATGATTCTGTGAAAATGATATTTCTGCAAAAACGAATGATTGCGTTTTGATTCAGACTGAGTTGTAATTGAGGGGCCTGCTGAGGCAAGCTTCATTTGGCAGTGACGTTCCGGGCTTAATCCTTGGCAATTCCAGACAACTCAGGGTTTTTTTGATGTAAAAAAATCCTGTGATTCCGTGCACTTCTTTTGAGCTCGGCTGCAATATCCGATTGTCAGGGAGCTGACTGCCAATTGAGGGCTCCAGCTGACGGCCAACGCCATGGCACGCTCGAAGAGGAAGACCCTTGGACGCATCACCGCGACCAAGACAGTCGCTGATCGGGTACGTCGGTGACTGCTGCATGATACTCGGTGGTTGCATACCGTGTGTACGAGCGATTTGAGTAGCCTCGCTCATTTGCCTATCAATCGCCTCGGAACATCTCAGCATCAAAAAAACGCAAGACAACGCCTGGCGGACGCAGCTGTAGCTGCCTATCGCATGGCTGGTCTCGTGCACAAAAATCAGCAGCCGACGACCGCACTCCAGAAATTACTGGACGATTCATCGCCGCTCTTCGACAGTGCCTCATTTCGCCTGAAACTCTTCCCTCGGGGTGCAAATCGCAAGGGACGGCGGCCACCTCCATCACTGTTCTGTACGGCCTATGGCGTAACGCACGCTGAATACCATGCCGCTTGTACCCGCAGCGGGGCTCAATCAAGCAAAACGCACAATGGCCGGACGCTTTGTACTCCAGAAGAGCGATCTCTGGTTGCTGAGTTTCTCGGCTCCATGAGTGGCATGAACTGCTCGCGTACACGCAATGATGCACTAGAGCTGATCGATGAGCTACTTGCGGTACGAGAAGCGCGCAACGCATGTGAGGCTCATTCGTCGACGGCGGCAGTATCTGAGCACCTGAATCATCGCGAGCGAGCGTTTCGTCTTCGCATGGCAAAAGCCAAAGACGGATGGTCTGCCCTTTCATCAATTTTACATGAGCGGTGGTTCTACGAGCTTGAGGAGGAGTTTGGCCTTGATCTGGTTGATGCAAAGGCACAGGAAGAATTGCGAGCACCATCTGCCACAAAACACCGATGCATTGCTCATTTTCGCGAGCTCGACGAAGCCTTGAATTGCCTGGGATTTCTTCATCAAACTGGACCCCACGCAGGCACCATCATCCGGGAAAGTACGTCGCTGGACGCTGGGGCCTGTCATTTTGATTTTCGATTTACTACTCTTCCGCGCGGGCTTGTATGTCCTGATTGGTAAACTGACGCGTGTTTGGTAATTCTGAGGTTCAGGCCGTGCGCGACCTCTTGGTACCGCCCGGGCTGACCCCGTACATTGCTTCGACACCCGCCTCCACGTCTACACTGGCACCAGCCACGGCTGCGAGCTCCCCAACCGTGTCCTTCACCAAGGGCGAGCTCCCCAAGGCGTTGGCGGCCACCAAGGGTGTCACCGACCCCTATGGTTGGTCTGGTGAGCTTCTTGCCTCCATCTACCGCATCAAGGAGCACTTCAGTCAGGTCTTGGGCCCACGCCAGGGTTCTACCAGCAACCCGACTGCTCCTCCTGATGGAGACGCGCCTCAGTGCCCCACCACCGCCACTGGAGGTCCTCAGGTTGCCTTGAACAAGATCTTTCACCACATTGCCAACAACACCGTGCCCGAGTCGATTCGACATGCCCTTTGCTCCATCAACTACACTATCCTGGAGAAGGCCAATGGCAAGTTTCGACCCGTGGGCACGGATTCCATCTTCAACAAGGTTGTCAACCGCGCTCTGCTCGAGCAACAGCAGCCACATATTGCCCACTTGCTACAGGCCAGTCCAGAGCTGGCCGTCGGAGTCAAGGACGGCATTTCAGCAGCGGTTGGCATGGCCTTTGGTGAGCTTCAAGCCTGTGAGTCTACCCCGGGCTGGACCATGCTCTCCCTCGATTTCAAGAGTGCCTTCAACTACACCGACCGAGCACGGCTGCACGAGATTGTGGCCGACAAGGTCCCTGGCCTCTTGCGCGCCTTTGAACGACACTATGCTCGACCCACTACCCACTGCATTGTCGACA